AACCAAATAAATACTGTTACTACAAATATAAAATTATAAGAATATAAAAGTTAATATAAAAGAACAACAATATGAAACTTATAACATTTCCTTGAATTCGAAAAATGGAAATATATTAATATATATATTATTCGCGTTATTATTATGAAATATATATATAATAAAATTTTATTTTTAAATTTCACTATATGTTATAGATATCAATTAAACATTGTTTTTGTAATTATTATCAAATTGTATTCAAACTTTCTATAAAAAAATTTTGAATTAAATAGCTTCAATTTACAGAAAAATTTTTACGTGGAATAACCGATGTACTAAAAATACTGTCAATAACATTATGTCAATGTAGTGGTATTGACAACTATAAAAGTGTTTATAATTTAATAATGTATTTTAAGACATTTTGGCGAGAAAATAATAAAGAAGTTGTATATTCATTACGAAAATTAAATGAGCATTTAATGACGCAAAATGATTCGTACATTAAAATAACAAGAATAAAAATATTTTTTGGAATAGGCAATGCAAGAAAGCTGTATATTTCAACAACTTCCGTGGACTTCTGTTACAAAGGATCGGAAATTGTCTTGAAAACCTAGTAATAATATGTCTTTCAACTAACCATTTTTCCTATTCATTAAAATCTTGCCATTGAATAGTAATATAAGTTGTTCTTATTTTTGATAAATCTTATAAAAATCTAACGAATAATGATTTAACGGTTTTGAATTCTGTATTTTAAAGTTTTATATTGAATCATATTGATTTGTCAATAATTATATTTTTAAAATTCTAAGCTCTGTAAAATTTACAATATTATATATATGTATATCATGATTATAATTTTCAAATAATCAAGATCATAAAATATTGAAAAAAATTATACTGATTTCGTCCCGGAATAACTCACTAAATTAATTATTATTCAACATAAAGGCATATCTTTCAATATTCTACAAAATAGAATCAAAGATGCATCATTATATATTAACAATTCTTGTTTTAGTCATTAGTAACAGACAGAATAATATATCGTACAGAGCTACAATTATCAAATAATCTTTCCGTATCACTCTTTGTTAAATACAAATATTATACGCTTATACACCCACTATAAGTTGGATACTTAAACTACATTTAAACAAACATTCAATACACTTTATTATTTAAATGTTAAAAATTGTACATTGATATTTACAATTTATGTGAATCTTTGAAAACAAAATAAGGCTCATTTTATTATACGTTATTATACACAAAGTATATATTTTATATACATATTATATATAAATAATATAGATGAATATTTAATCATACCAAAAAGTAATTCACACATTATTATTTCAAATTAATATTGTAAGAATAAAATTATTTATAAAAAGTAATATTTATTTTTTTTAATATTTATAAAAAAATTTTAAAAATCAGAACGCAATTGATTAATTTATTTTAATTAAAATAAAGAATTTTTTTTATATATCAATATAAGATATCAATATAATAATATCTTGTTTTTCAGAAAGTTTTCGGAAATAAATTAGCTCTAACTTTTTTCTGCTTAATTGGATTTTTTTAAATTGATTAAAATTGATTAAAATGAAATAATATTGCAGACATCCTCTTTGCTTACTCTTGACTAAAATTCTACAAATTAAATATAAATAATTTGGTATTATTATCTTTTATATTAAAAATGTTCAACATATAAAACTAATATCGAATAATTTGATTAAAAATACATACTTATATTACATTTATTTAGTAGTATAAAAGAATAATTATGACAGTTCTGACAAATAGCCTTAAAATGTCCTATATTTAATTATATTATATTTAATTTTGGTTATTACTAAAAATTCAATGTTAATAATATGTTTGTGAAATTCTAAATGAAATATTTTATTTGATTCAGTTCAAATATAAAATATAAAACATGGAATAATTCACTAAGTTTTTTCATTCTGCTTGGAAGTGCATACTTTACTATAACATAATAATTTATATGAAAAATTCGCTTTTAAATAATTCATATTCCCATTCAGGAAGTTCTGTCATCTATATACATACAAAAAATTGCGGTTTTCTTCTAGCCTTCATATCTACAATCCAAAATAAAAGAGGACACAAGCTCACACTGTAAAAAGAAAATCAAATGAGAGCAGTTCACTCTCAGTACAGCCACAGCGACAGATTTACTGATTCCAGGCTGCGTCCTCTTATTCAAGATTCTTCGGAATTATATATACGTTATTTCCCCTTTTCTCTTTATTTCTCTTATTCGCACTGTTACTTTATTTTTTGCTTACTTTTAATCCCTCTGTCGTTTCCTCTTTTATTATGTCTTTTTCTCTTCCCTTCGTTAGATTTCTCTGTCACGGGTTCAACGTGCGGGGCAGCTTGAAAGTCGCGCTCTTACATCCGTCAAATCGCACCTCAAGATGTTTACTCTTTTCGTCTAACCATCTTTTACTGTACTTTAATGTTTTTTTCGTTTTATCTTTCTAATTCATTACACTTTTCCTTTTTCTACTCGTTTACTAAAATTTTTATGAACTCCAAAACACAATATGCAATAACAATATCGTAGAATTTTAAATAACGCTACTTGGTTTCTTGACTATACTAAGGTTTTTTTTAAAAATGTATAAAGAAAACAATTATTTTAAATCTGTTAATATTGATTACATTTTTTAGATTTATAGTTACATAAACATAATATATAACATACTCTATATTATTAAAACTCATTTAAATTCAATCCATAGTGGAATTTGATCAAAAGTTTGGCAATATTATATATAGGTCTATTTTGTGTTTTTTTAAATTAAAATAAATTTATTGATATTTTAAGATTGATAACATTTCTAACATTAATTTATATGTTTTCACTGATATATATATAAATAAATAATCGATTTATTTATATAAAAATTATAAATTTTAAATTATAAAAACTTTATCCAATTAAATTGCCAGTAATTTAACAATTATTTTATTATTATTCTTTTTTATATTAATCATTCCGCTTTTTTAATTAGTAAAAGAACGTTTTCAGTTTAAACTAGTAAACAACCTATTCTATCAATACTATATAAATCGAAAATTTTTAATTTTTTTATAATTTGTTAAAATATATAATTTTAACGTTTTAAATTTTTTTTAAATTAAAGATGTAATTTATAATAATTAAGTTAAAATTTTTTCATTAATTTTTCTTTCGCTTCAGTTTTATAACTAATAAATTATGTTCTATTAATATACAAAAGAAAAAATTATACAAAATTTGACCATTTCTTAAAAATAATAATTTAAAAATGAATAAAAGCATATATTTTCAGAAATTTGTAATCTATATACATATATATAAATATTTAGTGCATAAATTTAGATAAAGATAAGAATTAAAAGATTAAAAAATTAAAAGACTTTTAAGATATTATGAAAACACTGTATCGTTCATGTAAAAAATGTTTATTGAATTAAACGAATTATCGATAAAAAATATATTTCAACGATCAATAAAAATTTATAAATATATCAAACATAATTTCAATAATAAAAATTGTTTGAAAATTAAGAAAAAACAGAATTATTGATAATATTTTTACATTAATATGTTACATTTAAATACAATTAATTGTTTTTTAAATGTTTAAATATTAAAATTTTAATTGTATAAATTTTTTTTATAGACTGATAGATAAATAGAATTAATAATTTGTAGTAAGCAATAAATATTATTTTTCTAAGGATACAATTCCTATTATTAATTTCTGAATTCTGTAATATTGTGTAATAAAATATAATAATTTTTTAGTGATTAAAATTAATATACGTTATTTTGAAAAATGAATGTCCATGTAGGAAAAAATTTTGTTCCAACTATTTGCTTGCGCATTAAAAATGCATTTACGTCGCATTTACTGTGACGAAATAATAGAAGTATAAACAGTATCAAATGAATTGAATCAATATTGTATCATTAGATTTAATTTATGTATAATTTTTATTTTAGATTACATTTAATAAAAACATATATTTAATAAAATTGTTTTTTATTTCTTTCTCAATTATCCATAAATTTGTAACATCAAATCACTACTAATTTTCTGTATAATCAAAAAGAAATAAGTATTGCTAAACTGGATGTTTTTCTTGTTTGTAAAATTATCAATTCTAAATGATACGAATAATAGATTTCTAATAGAAATAGAGTATTTTTTATATATTTTTAGACGTTAAAATATATCTTTTTAATAAAGAAAAAGAATATTATTAATAACCGTATGTATTATTAAATAAGGATTAGTATATTAATATAATCAGTAGAATAGAAATGATTTTTCGTAGTTTATGAAATATTTTGGTATTAATTATTTACATTTAGATTTACATTCAAATTTAAAAACGTTGTAAAAAAAATTATACAAATTATTAATAAAATATTTTTTCATCTATATGAAAATAACATGGGATATAGAATATATATTATATATCTATATATATAATTGTATTAATTTTGAAGTTTAATAAACTATAATGGATTAATTTATTAAAAACAATTTTTTTTAAAAGAGTTAATTACATCTATTTGCAGAATAAAATTAGAGAATAATAATACTGTACTAATCTTAATAAATTGGCTCAATACAGAATATTATATATATAAATTTAGTTATTTATTTTTTCAGATTTTTTTATATTATTCGTTTAATACTGTTTATACATATATATATATATATATATACGGCTTACTTCCATGATGTACAATGCGCATGTGTAAATAGAGAAAGAAAATGCAAATGGCGAAATTTACGTGATTATATAGATTAATTTATGCACTCAAATAACAAAATGTTAACATTCTTTTAATCACGAAAAATGAAATATAGTAAATTAAAATATATTAGTTATAAATAAAAATTTAAAATATATCATTTAAGAATATCAAACGAAGAAAAAGTTATATATTTAGGCTATTTCAACACTATTGATTATTAAATTACGCATAAAATATTTTATTAGTAAAAATTATGTTTTCTCCAATAAATATTAAGCGAAGTTCATCAGTAAATTCACCAGGTTCTATAGCACTTGAAACTGCAAAAAATATTAAAGACGCAGCAGTATTTAAAGTGCCTGCTGGTCCAGTGAAAAGAACTAAATCCAAAATTCTAGATGAAGAAACTTATGTGGAAAAAATGACTGAAATAATTCAAAGGGATTTTTTTCCAGATTTAGAAAAGTTAAAAGCACAAAATGAATATATCGAAGCTTTAGAGCACAATGATACAAAGAAAATGAGAGAGCTATTTGAAAAATATAGCTTTGAACGTCCAAAAACAGAAAGACTTGCTAGCCCTGCAACGTTTGAAACGCCAGTTCATAAAGAAAATGTCATTGAAGATGCATATTCATTTACACAAATTAAGAATTTAAAGGTTAAATTAAAAAGGAATCTTGAACATAGTTTGGATGAATTTTTAATGAATAATACAAGTGAGGATAATGCTAGCTTTGAAGAAATATTAATAGAAAATGAAAAGAAATATAGAATTAAATATGCTTGGCTTTATAAACCAGAAATACAATCAAATTTATCTACTATTGAAAATATTAAAAATCAACAATTACCAATTAAAAATATGAATGAACAAATATCATATAAAGTAGATACTTGGAGTTATAAAAATAAAAATTATATAATGTATATACCAGATGGAGTTGAATTAACATCCGAAGAAAAAATAGAAATGGCTAAAAGAAGGCAAAAGGTTGTTCATTCCAATACAAGATTAAAAGTAAATCCTTTCAATGAACAGCAGAATAAAGAAACTATTAGTGAATTAGCGAAAGCCCAATCGAAAGCAAATGATGGAAAAATAGGAGTAGATGGCAAAGAAATTTTAAGAAATGAAACACCAAGAATAAATGGATATACTATTTTAGCAACACCAAATCATATTCCTAATGAAATTATTGACAGTCCTATAATGACGTGGGGTCAAATTGAAGGAACACCATTTAGATTAGATGGCGGTGATACACCTTTATTACATGCCATTCAAGGACCTTCGTTTCGAATGGCAGAACCTCCAAAACGAGAAAAAATTGCTATGCAACTAGCAGAAATGGCTGGAGAAAAAAAAAGAGATAAAAAACTTAAGGCATTGAATGCAGCACGACGATCATTAACAACGTTAAGTAGTGCATTAGAAAAAATGATTAATTATTAGTTCTTCAATAAATATTTGAATTTATATATCCTTGTGTTCTTTTACGTAATTTTTTTATTTATTTATTTTAGAAGTATTTCATTTTTTTACTTTTAGTATTTGAAAATCAAGGCAATAAAAATTTTTTTAAATTATTTTAAAAATTTTATTTATATTATTAATTCATAAAATTTTATAAAATTATTATTAGGTGCATAATTAATATACATTAAATTATCCATCTTTATAAAAATTTCATTAAAACAAAATAAATTTTAAATATAACAAAAAATTATCTATGTTAAAAATCAAATTTTTAAATATTTCTTACAGAGAATTCTAATACTAATTTTATTATTTCAGGCCTTCACCAAGATCATCAATTGATCGACTGAATACAATGTCACCAGCTGCACGGAGACTTGCAACACAAAAACTACGCCTATCTATCACTCCTTCTCCCAAAAGATTTTTAAGAACTCCTTTCTTAGGAATAAAAACACCAACTACTCCAAGGCTTATAACACCTACTGTTAAAGCTAATGAAATGGATGTGCATTCAAAACCTCAAATGCCAGTTTTAACAGACAATTTATTAAATCTTCCTCAAAGACAAAGAGCAGCTGATTTTTTTGATAAATAAAGTTCATAGTAAAATAATTTATGACAAGTTAAGACAAGTGTAATTATACAAATTAAAATTGTCCTCAATGAAAAATATAAAATAATTTTATATTAACTAAATAGATTGTAAATATATATTATTTGTATAATATTACATTAAGTAAATCATACGTATCAAAGTATAATAAATTTAATATTGAACTGTACATAATACAAATAGATATACTTATTTATGTATGCTTAAAAAATACATTTATTATGTAAAAAACAATTTAACATTTTGTTTATGGATTTAAATTGTTTATAAAAATTATAATTTACTATTTACAAATATTCTAGATATACAAATTTATATATATTTAGCTTACTAAATATTAATATTTTCTTGTGTTTTTAGTAAACTAGTTGAAATAATAGATATTTTAAAAAATATAAAATTCATCAAATACTAAATTATTCTGAGTTAAATAAATAAAATTTTAAATTTTATACATTTATCTATACATGACACACTTTTTAATTTTTTTATCATAAAATATTCATTTACACGAATATATGTATCATGTTATTTTTATGATAGTTATATTAAAAATTCATTTTAGGTTAAAGTATAAAAATTTCATTGATATAAAACTGACTACAGCAATTATTATGATGAATAAGAATATGAAATAAAATGATTTTAAATTCGTCAGCGATATACTTGCAAACGTTATCAACATTTTTATAAAAAAACATTTAAAGGAGTTTTTAAAAATAAAATTATTTTTAAATAGAATTTAAAATAATTAAATCATAAACCAATTTCTACAGAATTATAGTTAACATTATTTAATTAACTTTTGATTTATAATATTACTCTGGTTTCGCATAACTTCCATGAGATTAGTTCCATTAAAATGTTTGTTAAACTATAATTAAATTTAAAAATCATTTAGTATAAATCTAGATTATTAAAAACGATTGTAAAATATGATAAGGTTAATCTTATATCTAGATGATTTGATTTAAAAAAAAACTGATGAAAAATTTATTATAATATACATATTTATCATGCTATTAATTTAATAAACATTTATTAAATTTAAAATGTTACTTTTATAATAGTTTTGTTTATCTTTGAAAATATTATAATTGTAAATGTCTGAAGTTTAAAATAATTAATTATAATTATTTATTATTATATTTGTTATATAATTTAAAAATAATATTTTCTTGATAAAAAAAGGAAAAAATTAATAAAAAATATTTAATTCTTTAATTCTTACATAGAAAATAAAATAAAGATAAATTAAATATATCTTTAGAGAAAACTTTAATTACGACTATGATTTCAGTTTCTAAAAACTACTCTTCATTACTTATGATTAATTAAAATTTTGTTAATAGTTTCATAGATTTATAATATAATAAATAATGATAAAGACAACAATAAAATTAAAAGATGAATTTAGCAAAATGATATTTTAAAAATATTATACTTTAATATAAATATTTAAAACTCATCGAATCAAAACAAATACTTTAAATAATTTTTAAAAAATTGACAAAATTATTACAGTGAAATTTTCTATTAAATATTTTTATAGACAAATTTAATTTATCTATATATTCATATAAACTTTCATGTTTCATGTTAACATGTCATATTTTATATGTGTTTATATTTGTGTATGTTTAAATAACGTATGTATGATAATAATTTCTTTTATATTATATTATAAATTATATTGTATTATATTATAAAATTAATTATATTATATTTATATTATAATTATATTATATTATAACAATTATAACAATTATATTATAAAATCAAATATGAAATGTTGATTATATGATTTGTACAAACAAAAATAAAATTAGTTAAATTAATATTTTATAATATAAATTTTTTGGTTTAATACAATATCTTATAAGTAATAATAAATAATTAAATTATGAATTATTAAATTAATATAATAATAAGTCTTTGTAAATACTTTATATATTGCTTTGATAAAATTATTGTTTATTTAAAAATACATGTTTTGTAAGAACGGAATAGAATAATTTAATTAAATTTAATAATACATTATATATTTATATTTCTGTAACATTAATGAAGAATTAAATAAAAGAAATTTTCAATATTGGATAGTATATTTATTTACTTCTGCATTGATAATCATTAATATAAAAAATATAAAATAAGCTAACTTTTTATATTAACTTATTTGTTTTGTTGTTTTAATTCTATATATGTTAGATTGTAAATATGTATTATACTTTGAACCCTTGCAAATATTCAATAACTAAGCTATTAGAATAATAATGATACAATATAGATGCATAAATTAGTCATGCATACATTTAATTTAAAATCATTATTTAACTACTCAATTCAGGTCAGACAACACTGATTGTATATATAAATAACTAATTATATGCAGCATCATTAGACACTATAATTAATAATACATTATTGTATTAGAAAAAATATAAATGATAAATTTAAAAATTCATAAAATAAGATCTATTTCATTCAGGAACAAAAATATTAGCAAAGAAGTCAGTACTAAGCTAATAGTAAAAGCAGACAAGTGCATTAATACAGACTGTACCTTAAAAAGAATAAAGATACTTTACATATAATGTAATGATATTTGCTTAGAAATAAAATACGTAGTTTTTAAACTTTGAATACACTATATCTAATATTTATATTTTAACCAATTTCTTTATAATTTTTAATGATCGCTCATACACAAATAAAATCATATATATTAAGTATGTTTAAGCAATTATAAAATTTTATTGTATTTATTTGTAATGAATTATCTAGTAAGGCTTTATAAAAATTTAGATTTAAGAAATGCATATCAACCGAGCTGTTTCCTCATTTTTGTTTTCATTTTTTATATACAATTTTTATATATTTTTATATATTTTATTTCATCATATGGATAATATAAATTCAATATAATATAAAACATACGCGTTGGATATTAGCAGTTGTAAATCATTATAATTTAGAAATTTTTTATATTATAGATTATATTTTGTTTTAAGTATCCATATTTTAATTTAGAAATGTCATATTTAATTTTAGGAAATTTTAAATATTTTATCAGTGAGTTCATTTATAAATGCAGTATAATCTCTATAAATTGTTATAAGTGTTTTTTATTTAATTTCATCGGATTGATATAGTACATGTATATTATTTAAACAATGAATACTTATTGAAAAAATTGATATTCCAAGAATAATAAATTAAGCTTTTTAAATTACAATATTGAATTAGAATATAAAATTTTTTTAAAAACTCATGCAATAAATCTACTTTATTTTTACAAAGTTCGTTTCGTAGTATTACAGCAGAAATCCTTCCGTCTTTTATTTGCAGCAACGTTTCCCAGTGTTTTATCCAAATTCAGACCAGCGATTTCTTTCGTTTACACGCTGTCTTTAATCTTTTAAAAACAACTAAGCTACTTTGCTCTTTTGTTTTACGACTCGTATAAATGAAACTGACGAATAGTGATTAAAAAACATCAACGATTTTTTACGGTTTCATTACAGGATACATATTATAAATCAAAAGTGAGAAAAATAAAGAGTGACAGAAAAAGTGTAAACCTAAAAAGTTACATTTTAATAATATTAGATTAAAAAATATTGTTGCTAATATCCAAAAATAAAAACATTCGAAATAGTAGTTTCATTTCAAAAATCGGCTTAATCAATTATTAGAATGAAAATTATTTCGGCAAACATATGTTTCATATTATCGACATTTATTTTCAATATTTTAGCCCATGGGACTAAATTTAAGAACACACAATTTTGTCAATATATTGATTCGTTCAAAGTTCTTAATTTTACACACGTTAATTTATCCGATAGCAACAATATTATCCGCAAGCTGAAACACAGCCAAAAAATCGTGCCTGGTTTAACTGCAGTTCCATTTTATGAAACTTCTCCATTATTAAATAAAGGCAATGATGATTACATTGATGCAAAAACACAAAAAAAAATAAACCTTTGGTATCAGAAACCTAATACATCAATTTCCTCTAAGTAAGAATAATATTATATTTGTTACATTATGATTTGAGAATATTAGTATTTAAATATTATTAATTTATATCTACTCATAGTATATTGTATGTATTCATATTTGCCTACATTAAAATTCAGTTATAAATTAATATAAACATTAAATACTATTTGCTAATTTATAAATTCATAAATTTATAAATATATATATTCAGTGTAAGTAAAAATATATTCATATTAATAAAACAAAAAATTTAATTTAAATCAATATAAGCATGAAATAATATAAGTAAAACATTTTTAAAAAACAGGTCTAAAATTTACCATTATACTAAATATGAATTCATATAAAACTTACATAACTTTTTGTTATGTTTATTATCAATCAAAAGCAATATAAATTAATCTTAATTTAAAATTAATTAACATGGTTAATAATAAATCCTGTGAATAATTAATATAATTATATCTATAACAGTTTGTATTTATTTTAACAAATTATATTGGACCGCTATATTAAATGATTATCATATGTAATAACATTACGACTGTGAGTAAACTAGTAATAATAATATGATCAATAATAGTAAAATAATGAAATGAAATGAATAAAATATAATAATAAAATTATCTGACTATTAAAAATTATAAATATAAATAAGACAAGTACATAATACAATTATTTGTTCAACTTTAACATTTATTTATTATTTATTTATGAGATAATATATTTTACTTAGTTAAAATAAAGGATGTTTATTTTAAAATTTATAATAAAATTTTGTTCGAGATTATATAAATTTAAATAATTTTCATTCCTACAATAAATTTTCTGTTTTATAATTTTGAAACTGTTTATAAAAGATAAATCAGTAACAAAAAATCTTTTAAGTTTTAGATTTATGTCTACTGATAATATCTATAATACTTGAAAAATACATAAATTAGAAAAGAGCGTTATCAGGAATCCTTCAGCCAAATTATTTCGATCATTAGATTCAAGAACTTTCTTT